AGGAATGTTCAGGACCCATAGGTTGTACATTGGCATCTCTTAGCCCAGTTAGCCAGAGAAGGGGCCCAATATCTGTGAAACTGATGAAAAACCAGAGACTTGGAAGCTACCAAAGAACCATGTATAAATTTAGGTAGTTAAAAAGTAATAATGGGGCAGCAGGTAGTGTGGTGGTTAAAGCACTGGACTCCCACATGACTGACTGCAGTTCAAGTCCCAGGCACAGTGGCTTGAAATTCACTCTGGGCCCATGTGCATGCTGTAAATCCAAGAAGAGCATGGGGGAGAAGGGATTGCAGTACGAACATCCACCCTGAGCAGTGATTTCTCTCTCTCTTTCTGTCTAGAGACATACGTTTGTACCTTATGGCAAAAACCTAAAAATAAAAAATAAAAAAAACGATAACACTTACCAGAGGACATGGTAACTTGTCACCACAAAGGATAAGAATATAAACCTTCTGGTCTGTCCTGGAAGACAATCCATTGGCAGTCTGATGGTGTGTAATAATTTGCACCCAAATCAAAGGAGTTGGTTTTGAAGTTACAATAAGTTGAGCACTCCTAATCTCAAAATCCAAAACACTCCAAAATCCAAAACTTTTAAAGAGCTGGCATGATGCCACAGGTAGAAAATTCTTCATCTGACCTCCGTTTTCTGATGGCTCAGTGTACACAAAGTTTTATGCACACAATTATTCCAAATATAGTATAAAATTACCTTTGGACTACCTATAAGGTATATGAGACAAATGAGCTTTATATTTAGATTTGGATACCATTTCCAAGATAAGTTATTATGTACACCAAAATATTCCAAAATCCGAAAAAGTTCAAAATCTGAAATACTTCTGGTCTCCAGCAGTTTGGATAAGGGATATGCAACCTATACAGCAACATTTTCTTACATGATTAGACAGCTTTTGACTTACAGCTTTTGGTTGTTAACAGTTTGTTTCTCAGACTCCTTGGACCCCCTCTCCTCTTCTGACCACTCTCAACCCACACTCTGTTCCTATAACCAGTCCCCTCCCCTTTTCCTTTAAGTGATTATGACAGCTAAGAAATTCTCATTGTAGTATTTTGAAAAGCATAAAGGAAAGCAACATTCATAAACTTACCTCCCAGGGGAGGCCACTGTTAACATCTTATATTTTAATCTTTTTTTTTTTGAATAGATGTTTCAGTATAAAAATTCAAATTAATGGAATTTTAATGACTTAGACTGGACAAGACAGAGGTTGAAGGCTTCTTTCTGTCAGTCTGATAGAATGATACAATTTCTAAGATCTTTGATGAGTTCTTCAACCTGTTTTCTTGATTGTTCTAGGGAGTGGCTGAGGCTGAACTTGAACGGAATCTGAGTCGGACTTTCAAAAGCTTCTTCAGAGCAAATGACGAGGTGAGGGGTTTTGGGGTGGGGATTCAGAAGAGTGAGAGGGAGGCTACCATGCAGGAAGGGGTGTGGCACAGTTTGGGAGTTAGCAATTTTGCCTTTTTTTCTTTGACTTCTGTAGTCAGTGTGAGGGGTCTCTGCTGGTCCCTTGTTAATGGAGAAAATAAATGTTCTCACTGTCACACAAGCTCAAAGAATGTTATAACCGCAGTGGATTGGAAATTATGCCCTTATCACCATTTCCATTTGAGTATGCACAGTTGACTTATTCAAGTCCAAAAGTAATTGATCTTTCTAACCCTTCTTTTTAAACAGCCAAGAGTTTCGAATGCTTTAACTCTGTAATCCACACACTCTTGTCTTGCACGTCAGTAGTCATCATTACTATTGTATTTGCATGCTTAGGTAAAACTGGACAGCCAGTGCCTGCCTGCTTAGACATTCCCATTTTCCAGCGTCTTTTACTGAACCCTTCTTGCATCCTTCTCATTTGTATTGAGTTCAGTTTCTCTCTACCTGAAGTGCCTCCTTTAGTAATTCTTTCAGTAAGAGTCTGTTAGTGGTAAACTCAGAATATCTTGGTGTGAAAATACCTTTATTTTACTTCTAATCTAGAAGGATCATTTATTTGAATATAGAATTCTAGGCTGAAAATTATTTCTCTTAGTGGCTTCTGTGATTGCTTGTGAAATATCAGCCTCATGTTTACCTTCCTGTATATTAATTGTCTTCTGGCAATTAATGATCTTAAACACTGGTGTCTAATCTAACTTAATCCATCTGAAATTTTCTTTTTAATTTTAATGAACAGGGTTTGGTTTTAAATGTATGATAGTTGTATTTGGTCCTTTTTCAAATCATTCTAATCTCTTTTACTAGATTTGTATTGTATTCTTATATTTTAATTTTTTTATGTCTTTAATCATTTTATCTTATTTATTGGTTTGTCAGGAAAGTCATGATGTATTTTTGCATAAAAATATATGCCCTAATTTTTCTGATGACCTAATATTTATTTATCTTTTGGAGCATTACTTATTTTATTTTATTTATTTATTTAAAATTTGTTATGGGACACAAGTGCTCATGAGAGAGAGAGAAAGAGAGCGGGAAAATGAGAAAGGAAGCCACCAGGTCCAGGACTCGTGGTGCTCAGCCACGTGGTAGCCCAGCACTTTAACCACCATGACTGCTGTCCCCTTTAACTATGTTTTAAAGAACTATTTATTTCATTTATTATTATTGTTATCATTTTTAAAATTTGCTATAGGGCACATGCACTCAAGAGACAGAAAGGGACAGAGAAAGCAAGCCACCAGATCCAGAATGTGAATGTGGTCAGCAATGTGGGAGTCCAGCACATTAACCACCCCACCACCCTCTGGCCCCAGTCTTTAGTCATTTTTGCATATTCATTTTTCATTCTCCATCTCTCTCTGCAATTTCTATTATTTAATGTTTTTTGAGAGTCTTATTTTACTGCTTGTTGCCTCTTACTACCAGGCCCTGCTCTATGTTTATGTGTGTGAGTGAAAGAGAATGTGAGTTTTGGGATTTGGGTTTGTGAGCTTATCTTCAGCAAGACTTAACCTAACCAGTCTATTTCAGTTTGGACTGAGGAAATGACTCTCTCCTCTTGGGAGCTGTTTAGCATTTTGTCTGACAGGCATCCTTGTGGGCTTGCCCGTCCAGGCTCACTTTGTCATTGTTGTTTGCTTTCATCTCAGGGCCTTCCAGATCATGTAGACAATGTGAATTCAAATCCAGGTACTTGTGAAGACAGGCCTATAGCTATGAGTTAGTTCCCAGGGGAGCTGTTTTGGATTTCCTCTTAGGATCAAACCAAAACAGAAAAACGCCTTGGACATCTGTCTGTTGTGCTGGGTATATTTATTCCTAGTGTACCCTTTAACTGAGGCTATAGCATATTGAAGAGCCCAGATTTACTGGATTTATTAGGAAAGGGCAAGGAATAATATTTCATTTCTAACTTCCTGCCCACCTAGGCCTAAGGATTTGATTCTCTTGTTCTCATTAGTTGATAAGCTCAAGTCTTTACATTACCAAGGTCTGTGAGAGTCCTGAACAGTCTTGTCATAGAGCTTTGGTTGTTAGCTTCCTCTTTACTCTGACTTCCAAGGGGATCCCTTGCTCTCTTTTAGCACATTTGTTAAAGTCTGTGTGGCACTTGTAAGTCTTTTGTTGTGACAGGGTTTTCACATTTCCTTTGCTTTGCCCATGACATTATTTCTAACTCTTTTCTTTCTACAGGGTTTTATGAGCACAAGTAGAATCCTTGAAAAGGGTAAGAGACATTCTTAGGGGAAAAGGGAGAAAGGAGGACCACCTCAGAAACCAAACAAATGTTAAATAAATGGTTCTCCCTCTGACCATTGTGGGCAGAAACCCTGAGCCTTCCAGCCCTGAACTTTGACTTGTCCAGCAAATGTCTCCAGAGGGTAAATAATGTTCACCCTAATCCTGGGCCTGACCATACAGCCTCAAACTCCTATTCTCTAGAGAGCTTCAGATTAAAAAATATAAATAGTAAGAGCCTGTGGGAGTCTTAGATTGTCCAGGACAATTATACTCTCTACTCAGAAGGATCTGAGCCTAGGACAGAGAACTGACCTCCGTAAGGTCACCTAGTGCACACAAGGCAGAATACTGTTGGGACCCAACCCTGTCTCCCCAGTTGTGATCCACTAGGCCCTTCCCTCATCTAGGTTCTGTTTTGGTCATTTCCAGTTCCTCACATCCTTGTTTTACCTCCTGGCTGGACATAAGTGAGGGATCAGAGTTGACATGAGATTGGAGCTCATCCCCATGACCCCAAGATCCAGTACTCATCCCACAAAACCTTGTATTTTCCCTAACGCTGGCCTTACCTTTATTCATTTATATTTTTAGTAACACTGATGATGGCTACCGCTTGTTTGAGCAGGTATTGTGTGCACCACACACTGCACTAACCCCCTTTAGATGTATTGTTTTTGATTCTCACAGCATCCCTAGAAATATCATTATTGTATCATTTTTGTCCTGAGGAAAGTGGATCTCAGAGGAAGTAACTTGTCTAAAGTGGTCAAGTTGGGGTCAACCCTTCTGACCCCATGGCTTTGTCACTACTCCAAGGATGTGTCCCCCCTTCCCTGCCCCCTTTATCCCGTTAGTCCTTTATTCATTCACACAGTCACTCCTTCCTTCCTGCCTTCATCCTCTAACTTGGTGTGAGACAGGGGCTGGATGCCACAGATACCCAGGTGCACAAAGCAGTTGCTGCCCTCAGGGAACCTAAATGGGGTCTTGTGGGAGGCAGACCAGCAGTAATGAAGTGGAGAAAGCAGAAGTGGTGTTCTCAAAGGGGTCCCAAGGTCCATCAGGAGGCTCAAGGCTGCTTTGTCACTGGGAAACACCTGGATCACACACCTTTGATGTATCTCATAGAAATCTAGAATGCTCAGCTCTGGTGCCTCCCAGGCTTTGGGAGTCTGAAAACAGTGAGACGGCCCTGTTCAGGCACCAGCATTAGTGCCCCTGGGGGCTGCTCCTGTGAAATTCCTGTCCACCCTGGGCTATCAGTTGTCATATCAGGAGCACCCCTGAAGACATGCTGGGTCCACACTGAGGACTCCACGGGAGGGTCTGGGAGGCACACAGAAGGCCATAGAATATGTGCCCCCTGGCCTGGGTCTTCTTCCTGTCTAAAAGGAAAAATGGCACTCATGAAAATGCTAAGAATCTCAGAGGGGCTATCTCAAAAGGGACATCATTAGTTAAGCTATTTAGAAAAGGTTTAGTCTAGGGGAGAACAGGAAGTCGGGGCTGGTAGGACCTGGAATGTGGCTGAAGTCTGCCTGACACAGCACCATCCTGCAACTGAGTAGCAAGCATGTTTTGGAGGGGAGTGCTATGGCTTGTCCTTGAGTAGTGATGACCGTATGAAGTCAAGTCTTCTGTGGGTGACTCCCTGGTGCTCTAGAATGACTGAGCTTACAAGCTTGGGTTTGAGAGAAGATGGGCTTCTAGGTCAGGAAGAGAACAGACAGTGAGGTACACAAGGCCCTTGCTGTAAGTTCAGATGGGATGTGAGATGCAATTCGGTCTAACTCCAGTTAGGAATGCCAGCCTTAGAACTCACTTACCCAGTCCATGGTAGAAGAGGAAACAAGTGTTTTTTTGCAGGAGGACTCTTGGTGGGGACCCCAGAAGAGCCCAACCTCAGCAGAATGGTGACTGAGGAGGAAATCCAGTTCTATGTGCAGCAGTTCAAGAAGTCTGGTTTCAGGTAAAGGAAGAGCAGCGGCCAGACACAGATGAGAAGAGGTCAGAGGGAGGGGGCACCCTTCAGCTCTCGTGGCTGGAAAGGCCCAGATTCCTGCCACCATGGACTCCATTTATGCCAGGCCTGCCTCTGCTTGCATGCCGCCAGTGTTGGAAGCTCACCGCCTTACGGAGCGCAGCCTGCTGTAGTTGACAGCTCAGTTTCTCTCTCTTATGCTGTTTTACTTTGTTTTTGTTGTTTGTTTATTTTTTAACCAATTTTCAGTCATGACTCCTCTGAGAATCAGATGATAGCTCTGGGTTCTTTCTTCAGGAAAAAAACACAGAAACCCATATATCCTCAAAAACTATGTACATTATGGTGCCTTTGTGCTGCCTCCCAGCATCCCTTTTCAGTGTGTTCCCTCAGCAGAGTGGTGACCCCTGGGTGGTGAGGGAACAAAACCAAGGTCCCCACTCTCTGAAACCTCCCGCCCGCCAAGGCAACATCCCTTGAGAATCCTGTAAGGCCAGCTCCCATGTGTCCTGCCAGCCTTCTTTGTAGAGTTCTATATTCCTGCACTGGGCCTTGCTGAGTGGAGACTGGCCAACATGAGGACAGCGAGGCATGGGCACTAGGCTCTGTTCTCTTGAGAAAAGCTCCTTCAGAAAGCTTTGTTCTACCTGGGATCAGCAGCTCTGTGCAGAGATGAATTCCTATGGGGGTTTGCAGCATCACCATCCACTCAAAGCATCCCAACTTTTACTCTCTGGTCTCCTCCTCAGGGGACCCCTAAACTGGTATCGAAACATAGAAAGGAACTGGAAATGGGGCTGCAAAGGCATGGGACGGAAGGTAAGTGTCCATATCAGCATTGCCACCCCCAGCCTGGGAGCCACCCCCAGGGCTTCCACCTGGTCAGAATTGGGGGTGGACAGACTGACCTGCTGGCTCCTCCTTTCCCTCTGGGATGTGGAAGGGACTCCACCCAAGGGTTTCCTCTTAGGACCTTTCTTGCTGGTGGTTTCATCGAAATGCTAGAGGGTGGCATTGGGGATACTGTGGGGGCACATCCAGGCGACTACAGCTTTGGTCCAACATGCCTAGGTCACCCAGCAGCACCCCAGGCCAGGATAACAGATGGTCCAGGGTGGCTCCCAGAGGTAATGTGTCTAATGGAGCGGTGACCACAGAGGAACCCTAGGTGCTCTCAGAGAGATGGGACTTTTGCCACCTTGAATAAGTTAAGCACTAAGTCTGCTCTTTGTCAGGCTGAAAATGGGATCTCAGTCTCTAGGTCTACAAAGGTAGAGGTCCTTTGTAGAATGGAGGTCCCCAGTTTCCATTCAGAACATTAAAAACCAGAGCTGTGAGGGCTAGCAGGTGGCGTGGTGGTTAAGGTGCTGAACTCCCACATGGCCACCTGTGGTTCTAATTCTAGACCTCGTGGCTAGAAAATCATGCCAGGCACATGTGCATGCATGCCCCAAAATCCTAGGAGAATGGAGAAGGGATTGCAGTGTGACTGTCCCCAGTGGGGGGTATTTCCTCACTTTCCCTCTCTCTGCCTCTCTGACAAGCACACGTATACCCTGTGGCAAAAGGGAAAAAAAAAAAAAGCTATCTCCATGACACAGCAATAATACACAGCTCTGGAGAAGCCAGGTCCCATACGGTGTCCATGGTTTGAATCCCCAGCTGGTCAACATGAAACATACCAGGCACACATGCAAGTGCCTAAGATCTGAAAGATCTGCTGGGCTAGAAGGCTAAAGAAAGGAGATCACAGCATGGCCAGACCCTGTGGAGGGTGCTCCTCACTCTAACATGCACACACATACTCTGTCGTGAATTTAAGAAATGAAGAAAGGAAAGAAAACATTCAAAACCAAAGAGAAATCACATCACCCTCCCCGCCAACCCCTAGGGTGGTGCAGGGAGCCAGGTACACGTCATTGTTCAGTCAGCGTGCATGCAGTCGACGTCTCTCGCACATCGAGGGAAATAACAACAGAGAGGTGGGAAGATGAGCCTCGATGGTGTGGAGGCGGGAGCCCCTTCCTCTGCAATTATCTGCCAAATCTTCTTTCCTCTTTTCTTGTCTCTTCCTGTGTCCCCCACCAGCAGTTTACATTCTGGCCTGGAACATTCTGGAGTTCACAAAACCCCACAGCAGCCCAGGATTCGTTTCAGCATCAAAAGCACTTTTGACCTCCCCCTGGTTCCTAGACCTTTAAGGAGGAGGGGTACAGTGAGAGCTACAGTTCCACATGAAGGTGAAAACTAGTGCAAAGTCCTCAGCCAGGGACAAAGCGAAGGTGCCTTGCACTTGCTAATAGTTGCGGGGTAGGACAGTGAGGGCAGACCAGGGCTCTCCAGACTGCACAGTGTCCCCATGTTCCCTTTGTCAGAGGGAAAAAGTGAAGTGGATTTTGCATCTTTTCATGTCAAGTTGGCAACTGTTGTGGCTTCCCTATCACTCTCTGGAATCTTGGCTGCCCTTTTTAAGAGTTTGTTTCATTCAGAGAAAAAGAATCTTGATCTTCACTCAAGGACAAATTCCCTCTTTTCTGGTACTGTGAATATCAGTCACACAGAGCAGGCCAGCACGTCTTTTTACTTATATACATGCACATGCACAAACCCTACATTGGTCACTGTATGGCTAACTCCACCATATTTTTCAAAATTTTGCCAGAGGAAGTATGCATTTGCCAAAGAGGCACAGAGAGGGAAAATGAGGGGGAAAAAACAAAAACAAAAACAAAAACAAAAACAAAAAAACACCCACTCTCCCATGGGGGAATGGCCATGACACAATCCCTTCTCTATTTCTTTTTGGATTTAGGGCATGCATGCATGCACATGTGCTGGGTGTGTTTTTCATCCCACTGTGGGATCCAGCCACCCTGACCACCGTGCCACTGCTGGCTTGCTACCACCGTCATTTTAAAGATCTCCAGTAATAGCAACGGCTCCTTCATATAAAGCTTGGTGGAAACAAAACCAGGACCATGGTGATGCAGCAGGGCTCTTTGCAGGGGAAGAAATGGTGGAGGGAGCCCCTGGGCATGAAAACACAGTAGACCTTGGGCATTAGTGGAGGAGTACTAGTTCCTCCCATCTTCTTTCTCCCTTCCCAGATCCTGATTCCAGCCCTGATGGTAACTGCAGAGAAGGACCAAGTGCTGGTTCCTCAGCTCTCCAAGCACATGGAGGACTGGGTGAGGGAGCAGCTCTGCAGGGGGGCTATCGTGGGTGGAAGCACAGGTGCCCAGAGAACACAGCAGTATCATGCCCGCTGGAAACGCTGACTGGAGTATTTCCCTGACAGTAACGTTGCTATCAGCTCTTGGAGCAGCAGTCATGGGGATTCTCCCTTGCCTCTGCACTGAGGGGGTGGCCTACTGACAGCAGAAAGGAAAGTGTCCACTCACAGGCGACCTCCATTGTCCCCTACGCCAGACCCATTTGTGTTCTGCCATTTACTTTCTGGGTGGGGTTTTCTTTCAGATCCCCCACCTGAAAAGAGGACACATTAAGGATTGTGGGCACTGGACACAGATAGACAAGTAAGGAGACATGGGGGTGGTGAGGGGATCCCTGAGTGGAGGAGAACAGGACTTCCGGTTCGCCTTCATAAAATTTTTCCTGGTTAATTGTGCTGGCGTTGGCCTGATCAGCTATTCATTTACCTCTGCCTGAGGGGTGAGGGGAGTGGTTGGGTCCAGACCAGTGTGAATTGCATTTTTATTTTGCCAGAGGGACGCTGTGCTCACCAGGAAGACAGAGAGAGGAAGAGGAGAAAGTACCACACCACCCCCCCATGGGGGATGGGTCATGCTGCAATCTCTTCTCCATTTCTCCCTCCGTTTTGGATTTGGACATGCACACACCCAGCATGTCCCTCAAGCTGCTGGGTCTGGGACTCAGACTGCATAGTTGGCTGTGTAGGGTCCAGCTGCCTTAACTACCATGCCACAAGATGGCCTACAAATTGCCTCTTACTTCCCTTCCAGGCCCACCGAGTTGAATCAGATCCTCACTGAGTGGTTGGAGACTGAAGTCAGGAACCCACTGGTGGTCTCGAAGATTTAGTACGTGGCAGGTGCCACCCTTGGCAGGAACTCTCATGTTTCTGTCCACTGGGAGCCACCCTTGGTGCCAGCTGTGGCCTTACCTGCTGCTCTCGTAACCAGAAGCATTGCTCTGAAGGAGTTTGCAAAACGAGTGATTTTCTTTACATGAAGTGATTGACATTTGACATAATTTTAGATCCAGGAGAAATCATGTGATTAATTCTCTGGGTATACATGCATCACTTCTTTATCCCTAAGAATGGTTCGTGTCTTGTTGGGGGACATGTGGAGACACTTAGGCAGTGATTTCCTTCTCATCAGCCCGAAGTTTTGCAGCAAAATCAGTAGTTCCATTTGAAATATCTTGGCAGAGATTAGGACCCTTGATTCAATAAAGCTAAGACAACTGCCCCTGCTGTCTCTGTTCCTGGGAAGGCAGAGTACATGTTCTAAGAACGCATCACGTTGGAAGGGATGCTTTCCATCTGCTTAAGCCTTTCTGTGTCCCCGAGGCACTGGGTGATCTGGCCCAGTGTTCTCCCAGGAACCTTCTGGAGGATGGTGTGGTCTGTGGTCCACTCTCTGATAGAATAGTCCTTAGCCCCAGCAGCCACGTCCCCTTTTTCTCTGCTTCCCTGACAGTCAGCTCATGTGCAGATGCACACTGTGAGAATGTGAAATGTGCTACTGGGGCAGAGGAAGCAGATTTTAGATTTTATTTCATTTTAATTAACTGAAGTTCAAATAGCCCCATTTGGCTAGTGGCTGCCACAGCTCAGTGTAGACCCAGCCGAGCTTCTTCTTCAGACTCTCTTTTCCCTTGTCCTTCCTGTTAGACACCACCATGTCCACCAATTTCATCTCCTACAACTGTCCATCCTCTGCTCTGCTTTGGGCCCCAGCACCTGGTAGCAGCAGCCTCCTAACTGGTCGGTTCACAGAGTCAGACCCTGAATGTTGCAGGACCCCCATGGTAAGGCCCATGTGCTGGAGCCCCTCTTGGCCACCAGCCTGGCCCTGTCAATCCTAATTTGTCTCCAGCATGATCGACCCTGAACTCCTGCAGACACAATGCTAGTTTTCCTTGACCCTCACCTTTGCTTATGCATCCTCTTTTGTAGAATCTCCCACCTGCCACCATCTCTATTAAGTCCCCAGGCTGAGTCCTTGTTCCCTCCTCCCCTAGCTTGAAACATGTGCTCACAGAGGTATGTGCATCGCCCTCTCTGCACTGCAGGAAAAGCCTGCGTAAAAAGTGGTTTCTCCAGGTTGAATTCTAAATTATGATGAACATAAGTTGGCCAGGCAACAAGGTTGCATGTTATGGGTATGCAAGAAGCCCGGGCAATTAGAAGTGTCATCAACTATCATGTATGCAGTACCAGGGTGTGCCTGGAGTCTTACATATACCAACCTCTGATCCTTCCAGAGCATTTTCCCACTTAACAGATGGGGAAACTGAGGTTGGTTTAGATAGCTTGCCCAAGGTCAGTTGGCTGCTTGTAGGCAAAGCCTTGGCTCAGGTGCATGCTGTCTCATTCCAAATGCTGTGGTTTTTCTACCAGAAATATTTTTTCGAAATCTGGAGCCACATCACCTAGTTAGCTTATCTGTGGCTTTCGCATCATGTGACCTCAAGAAAGGGTCTCCATTCCCTTCTGTATTTTTTTAAAGAATTATTTATTCAAGTTTATGTGTCACTGTTATTATTTTTAAATTTTCTACAGGGCACATGCACTCACCAGAAGAGAGAGAGAAAAAGTGAAAGAGAGAGAAGAGAGGGAGAAAGTGAAAAACAAGTTGCCAGGTCTAGGACTCAAACCATGATTGGCCATGTGGAGTCCAGTGTCTCAACCACCTTGCTACTTGCTGGCCCCAGTTCCCTCATGTATAAAAAAGGATGTCAATAGAACCTAACTCGGAGGTGGTCGTTGGTATTAAGTATGTTAATTTATGCAGAGTTCTAGAACAGTGCCTGGCACAGAAGTGCTATAGATATATATTAGCTGTGAAATTCTCAGTTTCTCTCAGAAAATTTCCAACCACACCACCAACTCCCTCATCCTTTTGCATCCGAGAATTAAAGGGTTCATTTAAAAGGCAGCTGTGTAGCCCAAGAGATTGACTACCTAAGCCAGACAACATTATTTTACTGACTGGGTAAACCAAGCTCATTTGTTTTTTGTTTGTTTTTAAATTTTGCCAGAAGGTACATGCACTGGCCAGAGAGTGGCAGAGAGAGAGAGAATACCACCCTTCCCCCAACTCCCAGGGAGGATGGTCAAGCACAATCCCTTCTCCTCCATCCCCCCGTCCAGTCAGGATTTGGGGCACACACACACACACACACACACACACACACACACACGAGCACCTGGTGTGTTTTTCAAGCCACTGCTTGCAGTCAACCTGTCGGATCTAGCTGCCTTAACCACCTCATCACTAGCAGGTCCACTAAGCTTATTCGTAAGGGAGCACTTGGGAGAAAAGGAAAAAATCTGTCATAATAAGGAGCACAAACAGGCAAACCTGTTTTCTCTTTTGGTTCCATTTCAAATGCTCTGTCCCATAATCCATATAAAGCATGAAAAATGTCCCCCAAATTCTACTCTTTTGGTAAATAAGTGTCAAATGAATCAAGTCCATAGCACTGCAAATATATATATATATAACCAATTATACAAGATTGCAGGCCCTGAAGGATGCTAGACTATAGAAGGTCTATAGGTTGTGCAAGAAAATACTAGAGCCCTATTTCCTGATAGGCTTTAGGGGACTTCAGGCCACACATCGACTTTGGTCATTGTGGCAGCAAAGAGGGTTAACTGGAACAAGAGGGAAGATTTTCAGATGCCACTTTAAGTATATCTCATCTGAAGCGTGTTCAAAGTGATTGAATTGCAAAATGTGATTTTTATTACACAACTACGAAAGGCATAAGTAACAAATATGATCACCCTTCAAGAGGCATGGCAGGCCGGCTAGATGGTACTGCAGTAACACTCTGCTCAAGTGACCCTGGATCCATACCGGAGGTGGCAGGTTTAGTTCCCAGTGGACACCTGTGCATCAGCATGTGCACCCATGATCCTAGCTGGATGGAAAGGCTGGGACAGGGTTGTGAGGGAGGATTGCCAACTAAGACCCTGTCGAGGAGCCTTGTCTCTCTATCTCTCACACTCATGAAAGAAAGAAACTTGAAAAGGGGAAGGAAAAAAAAAGCCTGACGATCTCCACAGTCTTACATCTATATATTGGTGAGGTTGTAGTGCTCCAGGATGGAGTTAAGATCACTCACCTCTCTGTCAAAGGAGGATCACATGATAGCTGTCAACTACAGCATCCAGGGTTTCCAGGAGAAGTGTCTTCTACAATATGAGTCTGTTAGACTAGATGGGACAAAAAGCTATTTCACCTCTCTTGGTGGCGGGGAGGGGGGCATTTCTCTGTGGTTTTAGGCCTTAAAGTGACCCAAAGCAAGTTTCTGCATTGTTCACATAAACATCATCATTGGCACAAATTAAAAGAAAACAATGGTTAAAATATCTAGGTCAGAAGCTGAGAAGTTTTACAACAGGTGTTGGGCGGAAAATACTATGCTAGCTGTTCAAAGGAATCTATCTGGTCACAAATGATAACTTTCTTATCTTAGCAATTGTAGGAGTTTCTTCTGCGTGTTGGCTACTGTACCCAGTTGTTTAATTGTCTGCCTCCCCTGTTAGGCTGTGAAGCTGTTGGGATTGGAGACTAACTGTCCAGGTGATTTATCCTTGAACCCAACCCAGCATTCTCCTAGCATGGTGTAGATGTTCATTAGGTATTTGCTGAATAAATTAGAGAATGAGTTCATAAATGAAGGAATGGATAAATAAGTTAGTTTTAAAATCTTCATCTGGATGTCTTACTTGGCAAGACGGCCAGCCAATTACATGACTGTTTTCACTGTTCCAAGCCTTGATGGATCTCTTTGTAAGAATGCTGGTATGGCCCAGCCTGGTGGTTCAGTTGGTAGCAAACTGAATTGCAGTGCTGGAAGCCACATGCCAGCTATGTGCACAGGTGCCCAAGACCCTGATGACCTGGGAGACCAGGGAAAGGTATTGCAGTATGATGAGACTATGTTGAAGGTAATTCTCTCCTCTCTCTCTTTCTCCTTCTCTCTCTCATATGCATGCACATACTGTCTTGCATAAAAAGTAAATAACTTGCTGGTGGCTCAGCTATGGTAACCTGTGCATGACACTGCTGCTTGGCAGGCTGTATGAGAGGCTCGGATTCAGTTGCTGGCCGACCCTGAAAATCTGTGCATGGTGGCAAATGCCTCTCCTCAGTTAGGAGGCTGAAACAGAGGATTGCAAACTCGTGGTCAGTGTGAACAATACAACACCTGCCTAAAACAGCTGGCTGTGATGGTTATACACCTGTGGTCTCAACTACTTGGGAGGCTAAGGGAGCAGGAGGATCGTGACACAGTGAAACTCTGAAAACAAAAATAAAAACACCACTCACACACACATATACAAAAAAGACTGCAGCATCTCTGCTTATAGAACTCAATTCAGTGGAAGACACCCAGAATCTGACAATTTATTGGATAGACTGCAATAGAACATCAGTGGGTTTCTGCTGCATTAAACACAAAGGCAATCATTATTTGAATAATAAAGCTGAAGTATTTACAGTTGCTGTAGATGTTCAGTTTTCAACTTTCGAAGATATACGGGGGATCATTCTGTCAGTTTAACTAAATACATTTTGTCATTTTCAAATGCAAAATTTTTTGAGGATAGTACCTGCTTTTGAAAAGACTATCAATGATGTTTCTACTTCTGTCATGTTCACTCCTCTTTTTTAAAAATAATAATAAAATACACATAAAACTTACCATTTTAACTATTTTTAAGTGTACAATTCAGTGGCATTAAGTACATTCACTGTTTTGTAACTATCATCACTATACATCACCAGAATGTTTTCATCACCCCAAACTGAACTGTAAACACTCACTCTCCATTCTTCCTCCCTAAAGACCCTAGCAACCACTCCCTCCCACCCCCACTGTCAGCTGGGCTATCCTAGAGACCTGGAATAAACTAAATCACTCAGTCTTTGTCCTTTTATGACTGGCTTGTTTTACTTTTACAGTGATCTCAAGGTTTATCCATGTATTTGCTGGATTAGAATTCCATTCCTAACCGAAGGCTGAATAATAGGCCACTATATACTTACAGACCACACATCGTTTAGTCATTCACTTGTGGATAGATCCTTGGGTTGCTTCCACATTTTGGTTCTTGCCAGTAATGCTATGAATGTGGCTGTACAAATCTATCTTCAAATGCTTGCTTTCAATTTGGGCAGCCGTCCCTAACCTTTTTGGCTCCAGGGGCAGGTTTTGTGGAAGACAGTTA